CCCTCCCCCACCCGCAATGCCACCCGCCACTCCCCCACCGGCCGCCAACCTCAGTGCAAGCTGCAGTCAGAGGAGGAGGCCCACAAGAGGGCCAGGGCAGAGGTTGCCGCCCTCACAGCCGCGGCACAGCAGAGCCAAGCCACGGCGCAGCGCGCCCACCAGGAGCTTGCGGCCAGCCAGGTGTGGGCAGTAGCGCTAGGTGGCTTGAAGCGCCAGTACTTTGGAAGGGCTGTGAGGCCCCAGTACTGGCTCTGTCCTGCTGCTTGAATGGACTTTTGCCAACCCCCGCTTTCCGTGAACGCGTTCGCCAGCACCAGGCCAAGACTGGGGTGGAGGAGAACGGCCGCAAGGCCGCCGAGGCAGAGGTGGCCGGCCCCAGGGTGAGAGGGGTGGAGGAGGGCAGTGAGGGTGCACGACGCGCCTTGCTACCGCCCTCCAGGCAGGCCTGAAGCAGGCGGGGGCGGCGCTGACCATTCGGGATCAGCTCGCCGCAACGGCGGTGGGTCGGTAGGCCTGCCATATTGGGGAATGTTGCTGGGGTAGACGTATGTATCTCAGAGTTGGCATTTCGTTCCGAGCAACGGTCTCATCACCATATTCGTAGCCCTTGTGCTTGTCAGCACCCAGTCATGTGCACGTGCATGCAAGGGCGTGAGCATGCCCGCATGCGCTTTCTGTGCCCAACCTCCACCCCGGTGTTCCCACACCCCAAGGCTAAGGCCACGCGGGAGGAGGAGAGCCGCAAGGCCGCAGAGAGCAACGCTAGAGTGCCCGAGGTGAGGGGGCTGGGGCGTGGGACGCTGGGTCATGCAGGGAGTGGAGGACCGATCCCTTCTGGCCTTGTCCACGCACGCACACCGGCACCATCACACAAAAACACGCACCCTGCCTGAGCCCCGGCATGCATGCCAGGCCTGCTGCTTGAACTCCAGCCCTGGACAAACCCACTGCACTTCCGCAAAGCTCCGGCGCACAGATCCCTGGATCTCATCCTAATGTAGTTGCGCCTCGCACCTTTTCTGCACGACAAGGGCGCTCTGCGATACCAAGTACAACAACTTGCGAACGCTCAGGCCGAGGCTGCGGATTACAAGCGCTCTGCCGAGGTGAGCAAGGCGGTCGCCCGCGGCATGCGCCAAGAGCCAGGACATAATCACGTGGCTCAGGACAGCACTGCAGGTTGAAAAAAAATAGGGGCGTGGGGGTCGGGGATCGGCCAGCTCAGTGTCTTGAATGGCGTCTGCAGGGTTTTGTCGTGTATGTGCATGATGCCGGCTTGTCTCCCATCTGATTTCAACGCATGTGTGTTGCATTGCAGCCCGAGATGGAGCAGCTGAGGGCCCAGGTGGGTGCAGCCAACATTGACGTGAGCAGCACATGCAGCAGCAGCGGCAGTTCCCCCAGCAGGCCTGGATCCCAGACTGGGGCGGCGGCCTGGCGGTGGATCACCGCCGACGCAGCAGCAGCGGCAAAGCGGAGGGCGCCATGTGCGGCGCGCTTGTGCGGCCGTCGTGCCAGCCTTGGGGTGAGGTCCTGGGACAGCTGCTGGGCTTGAGGCATTGAGCACGGGGAGTCAAGGCTGCGTCACACTGGACATAGCTGCAAAACGCTGTCCTCAGATTGTGTGGACAGGAATATGACGGCGGGGCCGGGCCGAGCTGCTGGAACCGCAGTGTGCCTGTGTTCCGCGTTGTTTTTTGAGTGTCAGGACCCGTCACCAGGTTGCAGGGTGCCAAGGGAAACCGGGAGAGCGGAGCAACGGGAGGGAGAGGCTGTGACAAGGTGCAGGATGCATTGTTTGCCATTGTGTGATGTGTGTGTTTTGCTGATGCAGAAAACCCAAATGGACCATCAACATCCTCTGTGATCAATCATTGCGGTAAAAATGTATGGGAATGAACCGGCATGTGACCAGGCAGACTATTGGTAACGCGCCAATCCTACCGACATCTGCTAAGCTGCATGACGCGCACACTCAGGTGGAACAGCCTTCAGGTTAGCCGCCAAGCAACAGGTCGCTTAGCGGCATGCAGCTGGCAGCAGGCAGCGCCCTGTCAGACTGATTATCATTTGAAGGCGTTCCCTTGCATTACACTCTTTTAAGCTACCTGCGAACAGCCGGCTCTTGCACAGCCGGCTCATGCAACCATGCTTGCACAACAGGAGCTGCCTCCTGCAAGCAGCCCTCGCAGCGGCCGCCCCTGGTGCCTCCAGAGCGCCGCGCGGCAGCACGCCCTTCAGTAGTTGGCGCGCTGGCTATCTGTGAGTTTTCCGTACGCTTCGTGGACCTGCGCCGCCTCCTGCCCCAGCACCTGCATGCCGCACCAGCAGTGGGTGGAGGGGCTCCAGCGGGTCATCACAGCAAAGCACTAAGCATGCGCACTGCTGGGAAGGCCTTGGCCCCTGAATGCAGGGAACCATCGTACTTGAGCGGCCAATCCTGGGCTTCCAGGCGCACACGGTGCCGTCATAGTGCCTGGCGGGATTGTGCATGGCTTGGGGCAGGCCCATGAGTAGCCTGAGCTGTGGGGTCGCACATATGTGTGGACCAGAATGAAACATTCCTGCTCTTGCTCACCTGCAGGAATGGCACATGCGCGCGCTGTGGTGTTTCCAGTTTGCCCTCTCGTCCATAAAATGTGTCCTGGGGGTGACTCAGCATTTGACCAGTGTCACACCATCTGGCAATGATCAGAACAAGAACACCCTCTCCACGTATGTTGATACATCTGATTCTGATGATCGTATTGAACGCGCAGACGCGGGCGCACTGCAGCTGTTGATTGCAGCATTTCGCGCGGGCTGGATTGCCCGCTCGCTCGCTACTGTACAGCAGGTGCGCGGCTTGCTCAGGACTAGTACAAGTACACGCGCTTATCGTCTGGTACACGTTACTCACCTTTAGAGGTGAGATCTGCGTTGCGCTGCCTGTTTTGTCTGACAAATTCCGACACTTGCTCGGCTTGGTGCGTGGTGCTGTGCGTACAAGCTTGCGGTCAGTCCACAGCAGAGTGCTCGGTGATTGCACAGCCGAGCGGCGGGCACGCTGAGAAGGCTGGTGTTGTCACTGCTGTTGTGCTCCGCCTTGCCCTTCAGGTCGGCGGCAGAAAGCGGTGGCTACCCAGCGGGATGCTGCCAGGGCTGTTTGCTCTGCAAGCTGCAGCAGAAACAGCGGCCACAGCGGCATCAGACCAGCAGGGGCAGCCGCTGCTGCAGGAGCGATGGCCGGTGCCGCAGCTCTCTAACATGCAGGACATGGTGCTGGTAGGGACGGTCGGCCTGGGCTATAGCATGCGCATCTGGTGCAATGAATGCATGCCTCGGCTATGTGCCTATGAGGTAGAGGAGGGTTGTCATCTGGCGTTGCACAAGGTAGCATATCCGTGGGGACCCCTGCCAGTACAGCTTCCGATTGCGCTCGCTCTGTCATCGGTGCATGCGCACTTGTGGACTTGAAGCGCAACGCTTTCTAGTCGATGCTGCCCACAAGTTTGACACTGCTCCTCCTCCCTCCCCCCTATCTGCTCTCATCTTGGTGGTTTCTGCCCTTGGTCAGACCCGCAGTTTCCTTCAGGACGCCCACCAAGACGCCCACCAGCTGCGCAGCCGCCTGAAGGACGTCGAAGCAGAGCTTGCGGAAACCAAGAGAGAAGCGGCGGCTGCCAAGGGGCGCCTGCAGCAGGCACAGAGCATAGCTGCTCAGAAGAAGCAGGAAGACGGGCCGAAATGGCAGTGGCTGCACAATCAGCTTAACTCTGAGAAAACCAGGGCAAACAAGGCGGTGAAGAGGGTGGAAACCGTGACGCGCGAGCTCGAGGAGATGGCGGCGGCCAAGGAGCGCGCAAGGCAGAAGATGGACGACGTCAAGGTGCGCGGTGACAGGCTCCTGTTGAGGCCTGAGGGGCCCCCGCAAAGTATGGAGTGAGGGTTTGGGGCGGAGGCAAGACGGGGACATCCCAAATGGAGGCCAGGGCCACAACTCCACCATCTTGCCTGGGCCGAACTCCACACCTTCACACGCTTGGTGCCTATCAATTTGGCGTCGATTGCAGGCCAAGCTGCGTCTGGAGATGAGGGAGGTTGAGAGACTGAGGGCCACTGTGGACGCGAAGGACCTGGAGTTGGAGCGGGTGAACGGGGAGCTGGCCGCCTGCCAGGTACGATAGGTCATAACTCAGGCACGGGCTATGGGTCGACCATGGACTTGCCCATGACCGGCCAAGTGTGGAGTTGAAGCCACCGACTGGTGCTTCAGGCGAGTCAACTTTGCACAGCACCACGGCACGTTCAATGCCCTGCTCGCGAGCCGTATGCTGTGCAGGTGTACATCACCGCCCCTCCGCTGTCCATCCCGGCCTCCTGCGGTCCATCCAGGCCAGGCTGGGGGAAGTCGAAGGCGCCTGCAGGGCGGCGACGGACGAGGGCGCCAACCTCAAGGCCATGATTCAGCAATGGCGGGCAGCAGCAGAGGCGGCACAGCAGAAGGTCAACGACTGGCAGGTGCGGTGGGTGATTAGAGATGGGCCGGGCACTGGTGACTCCACGAGGATCCTTCTAATGCAAGATTGGCATGTCTGTTGACCACCTGTCCACCCATCCACAGCATCATTCAGTCCATACGAGCGCACTTGTGTGCGCGTGCACACGCGCGTGCACGCGCGTGCGCACACACACACACACACACACACACACACACACACACACACACACACACACACACGCACACACACGCGCGCACACACACACACAAACACAAACACACACACGCGCGCGCGCGTGCACGTGTAGGCGTGCATGCTTATGCACGCATGTGCATGCTCATCAAGTGATGACACTGACATACATGCATGCAGCACACTCATGTCCGCACATACAGATGATCGTACACATGCACGCACGCACACACGTGCACACGCCCATACACACACAGGCACACAGACACAATCACACATTGACATGCGCACGCATGCGCGCACGTGGCAGATGCATGCACCCTCACGTGTTTGCACAGAGCGCGAGCCTGCCAACCACACACCGTGTCCCTCCTCAGACCGCGGCCGCTGAGCAGGAGGTGGGCGGCAAGGCCATCGAAAGGGACGACCCACCATTCCAGGTAAGGGGGCTGACCGGATTTGACAAGGGCTGCCAGTCCATGCAAACACAGCAGACCAGGGTCTGTCAAGCAGGCACATGCCGCCGCCCTGTGCGCTCGCTGGCCCTGCATGGCCTCTTGGCAGATAGCTTGCCGCCATCCAATCTAAGGCACTGAGCACCATCCTGTAGCTCACCCCAGTTCCATCCCTATATGCCCGCACCCAGCCTTGCCCCCGCACCACTGCCAACCACTGCCAGGCTAAGTACCGTTCGATGGAGGAGTTCCTTCTGGCTGCTCTGCAGAAGGTCAGCACAAGCTACGAGCAACAGGAGGCGACGCTGCTGCGCGTGGGGAACCTGATTAAAGCAATTCAGGTGGGTCTTGTGGCCTAGCACGTGGGGGGATGCTCGAGTCCACTTATGTACTTGAAAGCTGGCGGCCCAGTCCGAGGGGCGGCCTCAGCACCACCTTGGTAGCTTATGTTCCTGGTGAACCTGACACGTGATCGCACAGATGCGCACACTAGGACATGAACATGCATGCATGCGCTGGCTGCGCCACCTCTCCACCCCGGTCTGCCCGCAACTTCAGCCCGAAGCCATGGAGGTGGAGGAGAGCCCCAAGGTCGCCCAGGGCGAGGCTGTGACGCTCAGGGTGAGGGGACCGGGCAGCAGGGGCACGGGCTATTTGGACTTGCAGGGAGTGGAGGACCGATCCCTGCTCGGCCTGTCCATGCACACCGGCACCATCATGCGGAAAGTGCGCCCTGCCAAAGGCCAGGCATGCCTGCCAGACCTGCTTGACCTCCACGCAGCCAGCCTTGGTTGCATCGGCTGCAATCTTGTGGAGCCCGCCTTCAATTACCGCACAGATCACTGGATCTCATTCAGATGTAACAATGTCTTGCCAGGCCCGAGACACCACCCTGCTCGCCGCGCC